GACTCCCAGATGCTAGCCACCAGTTCCATGGACTCCCAGATGCTAGCCACCAGTTCCATGGACTCCCAGATGCTAGCCACCAGTTCCATGGACTCTCAGATGCTAGCCACTAGCTCTATGGACTCCCAGATGTTAGCAACCAGTACTATGGACTCCCAGATGTTAGCAACTAGCTCCATGGACTCCCAGATGTTAGCAACTGGTACTATGGACTCTCAGATGTTAGCTTCGGGCACCATGGATGCTCAGATGTTAGCGTCTGGTACCATGGATGCCCAGATGTTGGCATCTAGTTCCCAAGATTCTTCTATGTTGGACTCAAAATCTCCTGATCCTTATAGGTTAGCCCAGGATCCCTACAGACTAGCCCAGGATCCCTACAGATTAGGTCATGACCCGTATAGATTAGGTCATGATGCTTACAGGTTAGGACAGGACCCTTACAGATTAGGCCATGATCCTTATAGACTAACTCCTGATCCCTATAGGATGTCACCTAGGCCCTATAGGATAGCACCTAGGTCTTACAGGATAGCACCTAGACCATATAGGCTAGCACCTAGACCCCTGATGTTAGCTTCTAGACGTTCTATGATGATGTCCTATGCTGCAGAACGTTCCATGATGTCATCTTATGAACGCTCTATGATGTCTTATGAGCGGTCTATGATGTCCCCTATGGCTGAGCGCTCGATGATGTCAGCCTATGAGCGCTCGATGATGTCAGCCTACGAGCGCTCGATGATGTCCCCTATGGCTGAACGCTCTATGATGTCAGCTTATGAACGCTCTATGATGTCAGCTTATGAACGCTCCATGATGTCCCCAATGGCTGACCGATCTATGATGTCCATGGGTGCCGACCGGTCCATGATGTCGTCATACTCTGCTGCTGATCGGTCTATGATGTCATCGTACTCTGCAGCTGACCGATCTATGATGTCGTCTTATACAGCTGATCGTTCAATGATGTCTATGGCAGGTGATTCTTACACCGATTCTTATACTGATACATACACGGAGGCGTATATGGTGCCACCTTTGCCTCCGGAAGAACCTCCAACAATGCCACCATTGCCACCTGAGGAGCCACCAATGACACCGCCATTGCCACCTGAGGAACCACCAGAGGGTCCTGCATTACCTGCTGAGCAGTCAGAGTTAACAACTGAAAATGCATGGCCTACTGATGTCTCAACTTTGCCTCCTGAAGAATCAGTACCGCTTCCTGAGCCGCCTACAAGTCAAAATGAGATTACAGAACCTTTGACCGTGCCTGCTGATTTTTCATTGTCAGCATCAGAGCCTTCAGTGGTAGCATCAGAGGCTGTTGTAACTGTTCCAGAACCACTCCCAGAGCCAGAGTCTTCAGTTCTGTCAGCACCTGTGCAGTCTGCTGTATTAGAACATGAAAATATGCCACAAGTACCTGAAATGCCCATGATGGCTGAATCTACTACATTACCATCAGAGACTCCTGGCATGTCAGATGCAGCGGAAACCTTTGAATCCGTCAGAGGTTCAGGAAATAGTGCTGCAGAAGTACCGTTGTCCTTCTTGAACCCAGCTGTAACTATTGCAGAATCAGTGCACAGCACTCCAGAGCGATTATCCATGGCTGTCTCAGAGCTGCCAGCAGTGGTCATCCCGGAGCCAATGGTGATGGCTGTCCCAGAGCCTTTGGCTGTACCTGTCTCAGAGCCGTTGGCAGTACCTGTCCCAGAGCCACTGGCTGTCCCAGAGCCATTGGCTGTCTCTGAGGTGCTGGTGGTAGCTGTCTCAGAACCACTGACTGTGACTGAGCCAGAGCGTGTTCCTGGGCCCGTAGTTTCTGCCCTGGAGCCTCCTGTACCGATTGGGGAACCACCAGCGTCAGTACTTCAGCCTACCATGATTGTTTCAGAGCCATCTGTTTCTGTTCAGGAATCTACACTGACAATTTCAGAGCCTGCAGTTACTGTCACAGAGCACACACAAGTAATTTCAACTGAACTGGTTTTACAGTCTACATCAGTGATAGTGGAGTCCAGCGTTATGTCCTCCACACACATCATAAAGGGAATGAATTTAGTACCTGGTGATTCTAATCTTGCTCCAGAGATTGGTGTGCAGGATATTACCATGTATTCAGGTGAAGAGCCACAAGGTGAAGGATGCCTGAAGAGTGAATCTTATGCACATGAACATAGTATGAGTATAGACCTTGGTGTAAATAATCATTTAATTGGTAGAGAAACAGAGCATAATACAGTGTCTGCTACTAGCACTGATGGAGGTGTTGAAATGGACAAGAAAATGTTACCTGTCAGTGAGACTGAACAATGCACAGTATTAGTTACTTGCCCTGGTGTTAGTGAGGCAGATGTAGGTGGAACTTTGTCTTCTACTGATCCTCTTTCTCTTGAACCTGATGCGAAAGGAACTAGTGAAGGTACTGAACTTGCCACAGCATCTCCTTTCAGTTCAGTTAATAAATATGTTGAGGTATCTTTAACTACCCAAGATACTGAACATGATATGGTAATTTCCACCAGCCCAAGTGGTGGTAGTGAAGCTGACATAGAGGGACCTTTACCTGCTAAAGACATTCATCTTGATTTACCATCCAATACTGTTAGTGAGCATACAGCAGGACCATTACCTGTGAAAGATAGTGACCAGACAGTAGCAGTTGCTTTAAGCCCTAAAGAAAGTAGTGAAGATAAAGAAGTATCTCTTCCCACAAAGGAGGTAATACCTGATTCAGGACTTTCTGCCAATATTGAAGATATTAATGAAGCAGATTTAGTGAGACCATTACTTCCCAAAGACATGGAACGTCTTGCAAACCTTAGAGCTGGTATTGAAGGATCTTTACTTGCAAGTGATGCTGATAAACCTGCTGCAAGTCCAGTTGTAACTGGTTTACTAGATAGAGCTTCAGAGTCATCTTCAGAGGAAAAAGATGATTATGAAATATTTGTAAAAGTTAAGGACACACATGAAAAAAGCAAGAAAAATAAGAACCGTGATAAAGGTGAAAAAGAGAAGAAGAGAGACTCTTCCTTAAGATCTCGAAGCAAACGTTCCAAGTCTTCTGAGCACAAATCACGCAAGCGCACCAGTGAATCTCGTTCTAGAGCAAGAAAGAGATCATCTAAGTCCAAGTCTCATCGTTCCCAAACACGTTCACGGTCACGTTCAAGACGCAGGAGGAGAAGCAGCAGGTCAAGATCAAAGTCTAGAGGAAGATGTTCTGTATCCAAAGAGAAGCGCAAAAGATCTCCAAAGCACAGATCCAAGTCTAGGGAAAGAAAAAGAAAAAGATCAAGTTCCAGAGACAATCGAAAAACAGTCAGAGCTCGCAGTCGCACCCCAAGTCGACGGAGTCGAAGTCATACTCCAAGTCGTCGAAGAAGGTCTAGATCTATTGGGAGAAGGAGGAGCTTTAGCATTTCTCCAAGTCGGCGCAGCCGTACCCCAAGCCGGCGCAGCCGCACCCCGAGCAGGAGGAGTCGCACCCCAAGCCGCCGCAGCCGCACCCCGAGCAGGAGGAGTCGCACCCCGAGCCGCCGCAGCCGCACCCCGAGCAGGAGGAGTCGCACCCCGAGCCGCCGCAGCCGCACCCCGAGCAGGAGGAGTCGCACCCCGAGCCGCCGCAGCCGCACCCCGAGCAGGAGGAGTCGCACTCCGAGCCGGCGCAGCCGCACTCCAAGCAGGAGGAGTCGCACCCCGAGCCGCCGGAGAAGGTCAAGATCTGTGATAAGACGAAGAAGCTTTAGTATATCACCAGTCAGACTGAGGCGGTCACGAACACCTTTGAGAAGAAGGTTTAGCAGATCTCCTATTCGTCGTAAAAGATCCAGGTCTTCTGAAAGAGGAAGATCGCCTAAACGTTTGACAGATTTGGGTGAGTACTTCTAAAAAATCCATTAGAGAATATAGGGTAACTTGAAGGTTCCCCCCTTCTTTTTGAGAAAATGTAAAATATTAGTGTAGGATAAAATTTATTTTTTAATTTTTAGAAATATCCCATGTTTAGAAATACTTGAATGCAGAAATAGATTTAATTAGAGCCAAGAAGATGTTTTCCTACTTTGTTTAACTGAAGCCTGTTTTCGTGCATAATTAAGAATAAAAAGAAGGATTTAGTAAATTGAAAGTCTAGGCTAGTATATATTTGAAGTATTTTTCCATGTATTTAAACATATGTAGTGGCAGAAAAAGCCTAAAATGTCCGTTCTCTGTAGCTAACCCTTCAGCAGGTTTTCAGAAGTAGTAAATTGCAGAGGAGGAGAGAGCTTATCTTTTCTCCACTTAGCAGCTGGTGAATTTGAACCATCTATTAATATAGACGTGAAGGCAGTTTTAATAAGAAGTAAACTTTGCAGGAGGGGAGTTACTAACATGGAGGGCAGTGACTTGGAAAAAGAGGTGAAACTCTAGATGAATAATTTTAATAATTTTCAGGTTAAGTTTGTTGAAAATGATCCTTAAGAGAGCAAGGGGGAGAGCATTTTAATCTTAAAGATTTCTAATTTCAAAGCCTGTCCAAAGGAATAGTGTAAAAGAGTTGTGTTCAAAGTGCATGCTTACCTCCCTTTACCATATAGTGAAACTACCGAAGCAGAATGTGAAATGTGATAATTATTACAGTGTTTATATAAGTAAGGTATTTTAGAGAAGTGTAGTAGAAATTAGAATTAATTACACTTTAAGGTCATGTTCTTGGAAGAGTTGATACCTAAATGGGGCACATTTGAAGTCCTGATTAGAAGAGTAATTTCCTGTAGTAAAATACTAGTAAAGACATGGAGGTTAAGGATATGATATGCTTGGAAAAGAGACATTTTGGAGGTTATGTCTCAGTGGGTGTCAGGATATAAATTAACAACCATAGAAGTTAGCTGTTTTATGTAATTTTCCAATGGCAAGTGCCATGTGAACATAATTTCTTAAATAGGGGCACTCATTTAATAAGTTTGAGTTAGAATATACGATCAAAGAAAAAACATAAGAAATTTGATTTCTTTAATAGTAATAGTAGGTAAAATTTGAATGTACAAAATGCATAGCCTTTTAGGAAAATGCCTTGTATTTTTCTTCTAGATAAGGCTCAATTACTTGAAATAGCCAAAGCAAATGCAGCGGCCATGTGTGCTAAGGCTGGTGTTCCTTTACCGCCAAACCTAAAACCTGCACCTCCACCTTCAATAGAAGAGAAAGTTGCAAAAAAGTCTGGAGGAGCAACGATAGAAGAACTGACAGAGGTAAGCTAGATAGGATTTGGTTTTCTTCTTAAATGGATTATTCCAGTGATAGTGACTCTGGAGCGTGCCAAAACCCGAATTGTGGGCTGAACTGATAATGGCTGGCACGGAGTGGCCAAAACCCGAAATACAGATGTGGCAGCGGCAGAAGCTCTGTTTAGCAGGCCATTATCCGGGATGGCTAAGCTCCGCTAGCTAAAAGTTACTTCCCATTACTTTTGCTTTCCAGTTTTAGAAGCCAAACTGACTGAGGAGTGGGACGGTTCGTTTGAATGGAGGAGGTGTTGAGTGAGCAACACGCAGAAGCTCGCCTACAGTTTCGTTTCCATTCACGACGTGTTCACTGATCGCCACGAGTGTACTGCATATACGCAAAGACACAGACAATCTTCAGAAATGATCTTTTGCCACCGGAGCTTGGAAATTAATGAGAATAGCTGGCCATTGTCTGAAAGGAACTTCTTTCACATCAACATTTCGGGTTTTGGCTGTTTGGTACCAGCCATTGGCGATAATGGCCGGCCATTATCAGTTCTTCCTGCGATTCGGGTTTTGGCAGTAACATATGTATTTTAAACATACTTTGTTTTTAAAACTTTGATCTTTTCAATTGAGGCTTTTTTTGGGGGTGGGGCTTTGTTGTATTATCGTTGGGGGGGGCGGGGAACGCTAAATATTGCTGCTAGGATCCAGAAATATACTGTTTCATATATTGAAACTTGTTATTGGCTAGCCTTACAGCAGCCTGCCACTGTCATTACTTTCAGTTCCATTCAGCTACATGCTAGTTTATTTAGTTGGGGTTTTTGTTTTTTTTTTTTTTCTAAATGAGCTTTTTATCCAATTGTATTGTTTTTCATTTGGTAATGGATGTGATGAATTGAGCCTATTTAGAGACCAATTTGCCCAGATATACTTGGACCTTTTTATAAAGCCAGGTAATTAATAGTCTTTTCCTTCTCAGGAAGGAATGGACTTTGACTTTGCTTCAGTTGTCAGATGTTATCATTTGAACCTTCTCCATCATGCCTTATTTTCCATTCTTGAGTTCTGTTTCTTAAAAGAGACTTAACCTGTAACACATTTATGGTGAGACATCTTGCCATTGAACCCTATTCTGAATGCTTCAAATCTTTTATTTTGCTACTCAGTTTGAGGATTATAATTTATTTCCTCACTTAGATTTCTTGAAATACAAGTTACAACTTAAAAACACACATAATGACCTGTTAATAAAGGTTTCCATTCAAATCCAAGCTCCTTATATGAAGTTAGCATGTGAACACTTTTCTGTTCTTTACTGTTTTAGCCTAATCTTCAGCTCTTTTGTCCTTTTTAACAATTTTTTTAACCCTTTTACCGTAACTTGGCTAGGATGACTATTATTTCCTTTCTTTACCAATATATTTGTTTCTCAGTATGAAAATCTTGCTCAGACTTTCAAGAATTATCTCTAGATTATCTAATCTTGGCTGGCTATTCTCTTAAGCCTTTGGTTTTCTTTCTTTTTTCCTAGCACTTATGTACTTGGTTTGTATTATATCAGTTTGCACTTGTTATTGTGTTGCTCTGTAAAAATGTTTTCAATTATTTCATGTGTATGTATTCTGTCTGTTGACTAGATTGTAAGCTCTTTGGGAGCAGGGACCATGTCTTCTACTTTTTGTATTCCCTCGACAGTGCCCAGTACAGTGCTCTGCACATAGTAGGTGCTCAATAAATGTTGTTGACTGACTGAAAAGCAAGACTGTGTTTAAATGATAGCTATTAAGCTGAGTTACTTGTCTATAACTTAGTAACTTTTACTCTTGAATGTTGATTTTACATGGCTACATTAAGAAATTTTACATAAATGTGTAAGATTTACCTTTTGTTTTTTTGCTTTTTAAGAAATGCAAACAGATTGCACAAAGTAAAGAAGATGATGATGTAATAGTGAATAAACCTCATGTTTCGGATGAAGAGGAAGAAGAACCTCCTTTTTATCATCATCCCTTTAAACTCAGTGAACCCAAACCCATTTTTTTCAATCTGAATGTGAGTATTAGTTTATGGACTGATAAAACACAGTATATGAGACTGTTTAAATAAAACTCAAATTCTTAAGTTTATTAATTCTTTTTATATATTTAGAAATAATGTGAAATGTACATTTCCTTGATATTATTTTGAAACTCCAGAAAACACTTCATTGTAGATATTTGTTACATGGGAGTTTAATGAAATTTATTTATTTTTTAGATTGCTGCAGCAAAGCCAACACCACCAAAAAGCCAGGTAACATTAACAAAAGAATTTCCTGTATCATCGGGATCTCAACATCGAAAAAAAGAAGCAGATAGCGTTTATGGAGAGTGGGTTCCTGTCGAAAAAAATGGTGAAGAAAACAAAGATGATGATGATAATGTTTTCAGCAGCAATTTGCCCTCTGAGGTAAGTAAAAGAAATAAAATGTGTGTTTTTTCCTTTTTTAATACCTGACTATCTGCCATTTTATTGTTATTTTATATCTGATTTGGATTCTGTTTCACTCTTCTTAGGGCCGGGTTAAACGGCAGGGCCGGGTTAGACGACAGCTGAAACAACCCGCAGCTTCTCATTTGACAGTAACTCGATGCAATTCACTTTGTGGAACCAAGCCACAAAGTGAAAAGCATCGAATTGCAGAGAACAGTGTTATCACATCCTTACCTAACATTGGGCCCTCCATGCACTTGTGGGAAGGTAGCCCAAGGTACAACTATTTAGCTTCCCGTTTTGCTTCGAGACTCTATAGCTCTAGATTTTGGTGGTAGCAAATTTATTGGGTGGAGGGATTGAGCTGAGAGGAAGATCATCAGGTTCAACACAAGAACTGTATTTGAAAAGATAACTGATAATGAGCATCTTGGGCCCACTGCCCTTAAATAGTGCTTATTTACTGTTTTTCTGGGTTGTTAGGTAGTATTTCAGTTTAGTTGGTTTTTCTTCCCTGTATCACCTTGGTTCTTTTGGATTCTTGTGTTTAACCTAATGCTCAGCCTTGGTACACAATTCCCTTCTCCTTCCCCTCTTTGCTACTATTAAAAGTTGGAGAAGTGGAAGTTACACCTTGTAATTTACATGAGGCTATAGTTGTATCTTGTCAAAATGACGCAGTAATAATGCCAAGTGTCAAAATAATCCCATTAAAATGCCGCCTGATTAAATAATGTGCTGCTAAATATAATGCACATGAAAACAAGACTGTATATATATGTAAATATATATATATATATCTGTACCTTTGTATGTATCTCTGTATCTGTACCTTTGCTGTATCTTTTAATAAACAGTTTACTTTTATTTAACTTGTTGTGCAAAATCACGCTTGGGGGATCTGGGAGGGTGGAGACTTAATAGGGCGGTGGGAATTCTGATACCCTAGACTTAGTATCATTACCTTTTCTTACTCTTGCCCTTGATATCCAGAGACATTTGTCCAAGGAATGGACTGGTCTGAGGCCCTTAAAATGTCAAGCTTCTCCTTTTGCAGATCTGGGATATATAGGTCAGAGAGACCTGTACTTTTCACCTTCAGGTTCCCGTCACTGGCCATATCTTTCACTAAACACCTTTAATACTACAAACAAATCAGTCTTGTTTATATAATCAGAAAGTGAACAGAACCCAAATCAGAAATGTTATGATAGCACTATTTCTTTCCCCAGGAGCTATTCACAGGCGACATTTTCACTGTGTTTTTTTGACCTGTGGCATTTTGAAAGGGAAAAGTTCTATATAGTAAAGCTGCACATGATAAGCAGACAGTGCATCTGTCAATCAGTTTAGGTGTTGATCTATATTCACATGGATTTTTAACATTTGAACTTGTATCATCACCAATAAAAGGGAGTAATGGCTGGTTTGGAAAATATTATATGAAGCTAGTTGAGTAATTAAACTGCTAATTCTCAAATGAGACCCGCACATCTCAAGAGGAAGAGATTGAAATTTGCAACTGATGCAATGTTCTTATAGTAGCTTGAATACAAACCATGGTAAAGAAAGTAAGGCAGACTTAGAAATCCTGATACATATATTTTCAGCCATTAATTTCATGCATATTGAACAAAAAGGTTGAAAAAAATGGAGAGATTATATGAGAAGAATTTTGCATTGGAGTGAAGACCAATGAATAGTTATCTCAAAATTCCAAGAAATTTTCCAGAGACAATAAGTGACCAGGATATTGTAATTTTGTCAGTTGAACATGGGAAAAATACTTCATTAATCCTAATAATTAAGCTGTTTTTTCATTGAGAGGTGTATGTGACTGACTGTTGTGTGTATCTATCTATATATATATTTGGAATTCAGTATGCAACTGTTTTTAGTTTCTAACACCAAAAATGTGATGACCAAAGCCTTATTGATTATGAATTGTGATTGCCAGATTTTTACCTCTAAGGTTCAGGAGAATTCTAAGGATTAGTAGGATATAAGCAAATTATTTTTAAAAGGAAGCAGTACTTAAAGTGTATTCTAAAGAAGGAAATTTCATTAAAGCAGATTAAAAAAACATCAGACAAAATAGATGACCTGGACATTTGACATCAGAACACTGCTCGTATTTTTAAGCTAATTACTTTAGAAGCTTACTTAGCCTTAAAGAGTGTACGTTAACTAATTCTAAATAAAAGAATCCCATGATTTTAGGAGAAAAAGACACGATTGTGTTTTGCTTCCAGGTCTCTATAGTTCTACCTAGTAGCAACTCCTAGAAGAAATGTTCACAATTACATTTGTTTGTAGTTTTGATAGAACAATGGTGGTGGAACACTACTACTGATGAAGTTTTGTAAGCATTAAGCCTTTGATTCTGTGTTAGGGATTGTAAAAAAGGCTTTCTAGAATGAAAGACAAGGTCTTTTATATAGTAAGTTTTTTTAATACAATAGGCATTTTCTTTCCCCTTCCTGTTTTGTTTTAATGAATATAAGGGGAGTTTGTGGTTATTTAGTACTGACCATAAAATACTTGGGCGACAATTACAGCTTTGAGCTCCATAAGGACCAACTTAGCTTTGTTACAAATCTGAATATGGATTATCATCCTTAACCCCACTCATTATCTTGCACATGAGTGCTTTCTGACATAAGTGAGTGGACAGAAGTTGTGGATGGATCAGCATAAATCCTATCTTATGGAAAAACAACTCATCAGACTGTGCTGCCCTACTGCCACAGCATCGTCTTCCTACTCAGAAACCAGCCAGCGGCATCCTCAGGAATAACAGGAATAACTACAGAACTTTGACCATATTTGTGAATTTGATTTGTGAAAAATGAAAGCTTGAGAAATACTATTTTTAAAAATAGTCCTCAGGAACCTTAATTCTTGGTAAAAAGAATAAAATTAGTAAAGGCTTTTTGGGTTTAATGTTTGGCATAGTTTTCCATGGTTTATTAATGGTCATAAATGTGTTAAAAGTTTTAGCAAGGCCAAGTGATTGCTTACATGTTTAGACCATCGTCATAAGCACTGAACCTGGTATAACTGAAATCTCTTTCCGTATCTCACCCGAGCTAAAATTCTCTTCAGTTTAGAAGCTATCTTTATAGAGTGAACTTGTGGGGCAAAAATGACAAATTTAAAAACGTATAGATCTTTACTGGAATGTGAAATAACAGTTTGGACTATTTAATAGGTTAAGTCTCAGTTAAATTTATTTAATGTAAATATATTAAAGATATATTTTAAAGTAAACAAGTTTCACTACAGAATTTCCATATAACAAAAGATTCAGAATGTTTTTAAAAATAATCCAAATACTCAAAACTGGGACATCCTGTATTTAATGTGAATTTTGTTTTTGTTGCTAATTTATTATTTTTATATGCGCTTCAACATTTTTACTACTTTGGTATTTTGAAATCATACTTTTCATATTTTATGTTTAGGTCAGATGCATTTCATTGACTCTTCTCTGACCCTAAATAAGATAATAGTTCTACTTTTTTTCCTTTTTTAAATTTTTATTTATTTATTTTATGTGTGTACCGTCAAATTGGATCTGACTGGTACAGGAGGCGATTGTTCCTCCCTCTTCAGCAGAGCATCTGGTGGATTTGAACCGCGCACCTCTGGGATTGCAGTACAGTTTCCTGCCACTAGGCCACCAGAGCTCACCAAGATATTAATTCTAATTCAGTAAACAGTTGGGTTGATGAAATGTAGCAGGCTTGTAAATTGATGCTTAAGAAATTTTAAGTGGAAAAATAAAGCTTATAAATGATATACTTGTATAATATAAGTCATACGTATATATGATGTCAGATGTATGGAATAATAGTTCACAAGGAAATCATTGGAGGTTATATATGAAATAGTCATCTTTTTTGCTCAGAGATTAATGTGAGCAGGAATTTTATTAATGTGAGACATAGTCATAATCCACTACATACTTTTAGGTAAATGTCACCATGTAGAAGTTCTAGAGAAAAAAGAAATTTTACCATTTTAAAACTTAGACATTTACTATACAAGTATATTACACTCTATAAAGCTATAAATCTAGAGTATATAAGTAGAAACAAAGTTTACATTACGAGGTAATAGAAGTTTTTAGAAAAGCTTTTTAAATTTTGGCATCTTTTCCTTGGTTTTGTTTCAGAGTAACCTAAAGAAATGACTGGCAGCTGAAAAATGTTCAAAATAGTCATAAATCTACATGTGACTAAGCAAAATTAAATAAATGGGGGGGGGCAGTTAAATAACCACATTTTTATGCATGATAGCATTCTTCTATAAAGATGTATTTGACAACATTTCTGAAAGGTTTATGATTTAATATTGATAAACATTAGACTAGCTACTGAAAAGGAAACTTGATCATAGTTAAATTTTTATACATTTTCAAATTACCGTTTTATCTTTATTAAAATTGGTTTGCTTACAAAGTTTATACACATTTTGTTTCACACTATTCAAGTTATCTTTATAGAATTTTACATAAATGGAACATCTTAGATGATTCTGATTTCATTATCTTTTAAAATATATTTTTCTCACATTTAAATGATGTGTACCATCGAATCAGAACCGATCCGTAGCTGACCCTCATGTAGGTTTTCAAAGTCAGTAAATTGTACTGGAGGAGAGTGCCCATCTGTCTCCCCTGGAGCTGCTGGTGGATTTGAACCATGTACCTTTTGGTGGCATTGCAGTTTCTTAACACCAAGCCACCAGAGCCCCTATATTTAAAAACAGGAATATGAAATTAATAGTTACATTAATACAAGCCTTTAAAATTGTAATATTCAGTTTGTAATTTACTTGGTCAGTTTTTGTAGAGAAGTATATTCATTAAGATCAGTTTTGTGGGAAACTGGTTGTTTTGAAAGTCACCTAAATACATTCGAATTTATAGTGGGAGGTTAGGGATTTGGGCCCCTAGCAAGTGGATTATTTTCCCTAGCATCTGTTCAACTTCGATTTCCTAGTAATAAACCCCGTTTTTTATACAACAAACCCTACACACACAGATTTAAACTACAGCGAATTGTGTTACTAACCCAAAGGCTGGGTGTCTGCAGTGGTTTGAATCCAGTAGCAGCTACACAGGAGAAAGATAAGTAGGTAGGCTCATCTTTTGATTTACAGGCTCAGCAACTCAGTGGAACTCTGAGTCAGAACTGACTCAATGGCAGTGAGAGTGACGAAACCAAAAATTAATCTGGCAAGGTCAATGAAATAGTACTTGAGGTAATATTTAATTGAGTTTCCAAAACTACATTGATAACTTAGGGAAAACAATTTTAGGAAACATCTTAAGGTTGGCCAAGGGAATATGTTTAAATAACCTGGTTCCAAGTTAAAGTTCCAGAAAAAGACAACATTATAAAGACATAAATTCTTAGTCTTTCAGGCTAATTTTGCACAAATAAGCTATTTTTTGAAGACCCTAGAAGTAGTATAGTGTGTGGGTAAATGAATTAAAAAGTATTTGTTTATCTTATTAACAGTTACAGAATTAGTTGCCTTCATTTTTAAAATGCACCGTAATGTTTTATAAAAGAAAAAATAAAACTATTAGAGGAGTATTATGTAATTTTGCAAGAAAACCAAGATAGACTAATGAATTCTGATTATAGAGAAATAATGATCAGTGAGAGATGATAATTCGCAGTCATACGGATTTCTTTACAGTACAGGTGTAGCTTTTAAAGAGTATTTCATAGAGAACATTCAATGTCATACATCTGACTTCTATTTAGCATGTTTAGGGATCTTAGCCTTTTAAGGTGCTGTTTTATTTCCATTCTAGTAAATTCCAGTGTTTACCATATTTGTGCAGTACCTGTTTATTCACTCTTTAGAAAAACAGTCTGTTAGCTAACCATTGTCAGGAAACAAATACTGGGTCATAAAAACAGATACCATTAATAGGTAAAAGGATGCTGGAAGAAAAGATCAAGGCTTATTAGAAAAACCCTTATCAAATACTTTTTCCTTGTATGGTAAGCTTTCCACAAGTCTGACAAAGTGGAATTTGTCTCTTTCAGGAATTTTCTTGGCCATTCTCTGTTGATCTTGAGTCAACTCCTTCTCCTAGAGACCTCTTCAATCTAATTTCCAAGCCAAATATTTGTGAGAGGTGATAGTTCCCTCTTTGCCCTGTGGAGCAACTCACTGATGGATTCAAACCTCTGAAATATACATAAACACACTATGCTACCAGGACCTTTCTTCTTTGCCTGTTAGGGAAAATTAAAGTTGTCATGATTATCAAAGAGTATTATATTAGTCGTTGAAAAGAAGACCTAACATCTCATTTTAGTTGATGTTTACATATCTAGAGATATTATAATATTGTTAAGTAATGTTTAACTGAAACATTTTTAAGAAATTGGATTCTTAGAAACATTTTACATAAAACAATGCTAGATGAAATTATGCCGTAATTAGAAATAATTTACACAGTAATAATTTTCTACTCAGTTATTCAAGAATTTTACTTAACTGCATTTGAGTGTTAGGGAAATTTCTCAGTGGAATTTTTTTATACAGTCTATAGCAACTAATGAGCGCTTTTGAGAATTTGGGGGGCTTGTCATAATTTAAGATAATTATCTATGTTTTCTGTTTTAGCCTGTGGACATCTCTACAGCAATGACTGAGCGAGCACTTGCTCAGAAAAGACTCAGTGAGAATGCATTTGACCTTGAAGCCATGAGCATGTTAAATCGAGCTCAGGAACGGGTATGGAGCAATTTTTAATGTCCAAATAAGACTTCATTCATTAGTTGAGTTGTGACACAAAGTCTGTAGCATTCTGTTGAAATCTAGGTCTTCATTTAGAAAATGCAAGAAACTAAGTTAATAACGTGGCTTACTTTAAATTGAAGCAATTTGAGCATTCACTTAGTACATGTCTTTTTTTATAATGTGTAGCAGGAACTGTTGAAGGAAAAATTTGCACTCAGTGGAACTTAACAATCTGGTGTATAAAAAAATTGCACATCTTAACTCATTTCATGTTCATATCTGTCCCAGGAGCTATAGTACTCGTGATTCTCATATTCCAGCTGAGGAAACTGAGATTAGTTAGGTTATGTAAGAAATCCCAGTACTGTTAGGTGGATAAAACTAGGATTCAGATGTAGGCCCTTTGAAACCAAAGTCAGTTCAAATTACTAGCAATTCTTAGCTTCTCTACTTTCTACCTATCTGTAGCTCTAGGTAGAAACAATATAGGTGCAGACCAGATGTAAAATAACTGACAAACTTAAGTGCTTAATAAATACAATTAGTGACAGTTGATTCTTTCAACTTCATGACAAATGCTAATGATTACCTGGGAAGGGGACAAGAATTCTTTACCATATTTATTAGCTTTTTTATTTTTGCAGTAATTTTGGTACATTTCTCTTGTATCAGTGATAGTTTAAAGAATTATCATAGCTATAGTTGTCAGTTATAAAGAAACACCCACAATGTCATTAATGGATTGATTATCGATTAATAGATTCAGTCACACTTCTTTGCAAAGCTTAGGAAAGTGTTTAAACATTTTATCATACTAATAATACACTGTTTTAAAAGTTGATCATTTAATACTGTTCAGTCTTTTTTGGCTAAAAGGAAATTTTTGTTTAGTTACATATACTAAAGTCACATTTTAATGCAATGAATGATTTTACTAAATTAGAGCTTGTGTTCCCTCCCCCAGATTGATGCCTGGGCTCAGCTGAACTCTATCCCTGGCCAGTTTACAGGAAGTACTGGAGTACAGGTTCTGACACAAGAACAGTTGGCTAATACTGGTGCTCAAGCTTGGATTAAAAAGGTATGCACTATAAACAACATAGAAAATGTTGAAGTACAGTGTTATTTTTTTCCCCCAGAATACATTTCATTAAAAATGCATGAAGATCCCAATGACTAACTGAAATACATGAGTAAATTTGCTATGTGTAAATGCCCCAGGATGGACACTGAAGACGGACTTGATTTATGAGACAATGGCACATGTATAAATAATGGGTCAAGAACTATAATTACTGCTGGTGGTGTGTTGTGTTTTTAACTGTATTTTTAATGCCAACAGTGTATCAGGTGCTGTTCAAAATATTCCTGTTCCTGTTTGACTACTAATTTAATAATTTCAAAGCAGTGGTTCTCAAATTTTTCTTCAACATGGGATACTTTGTTACAGGTTTATTTTTGGTGGATCACTGCCCCCAAGAGCCTTCCACCACCCTCCTTTCCAATTCCTCTATTCCACTGTCCTTTATATCCCCTTTTTTAGTGCTTGCACCCTTACTTAAGTCCATATTTCCTTTCCCTTTTGTGACCTCCAGCCCTAGGTCCCTATGGTTGTCAGCCATTGATTCCAACAATTGGTTGGGCAGCCCTAATAAAAGTACTGCATGTGGCAATCTTGCCATGGGACTTGGAAGGTTGTGGGAGGATGGCTGGAATGTTGGGTGGCCAATGTTGAAGGGTGGTGAAGGAGATAGGATGGGAAGGGAGAATATGATCTGTGGACCATCATTTAGGCCCTAGTGGCCTCTGATGATCCACAGGCTCAATTTGAGAACCACTGATCCCATGGAAACCCAGGAAAGAATTAACACAAGAGGATGGACACCTCGTGCAGCAAAGACATAGGCACATCTGTTTTTCAGATTCCTGCAATAAGACCTGTGAACTCCACCTCTGGCTGCCTCATTATTGGGGGGAGCCTTAGGTGTTAAGGGCTTTCTGAAGACGTGCATTTGGTGAAGGAACATGGTTTGGTTGTATGGGTGATGGGAAGTTTCTTTGAGTACTGGCAGCATAGCAGTGCTGCAATTGGGAGGCTCTGTGGTATAATGGATTGGGAAGGTTTCTTAAACCCGCTTTATTCCTGACTCCTTATGTGACTGTGGGCAAGTGATTCTTTGAAATATTAGAGTTTCAAGTGGAGACCGTCTTTATTATTACCTCACTGAATGGTAACTAATAATGTGAATGAAGAGTACCTGTTACAAAGAATTGAGTATCAGTGAATGTTTGGTATTTCTGAAAAGTAAGATTTGGATTGCTTCAGATGTTTTAACTCAAATTATTTCAATTTTGATATCTCGTATTAACAAAATTAATATAAAACATCACGTATCTTCACCTTGCCTAATTTCTTTTTTGAAAGTTAAACTTATGTACATACTGAATATATAGTTACAGTAATTAAATTGGGGCCTTTATTGTAGTGAGTGTGCTATGGGTTGGTGGGAAAATCACGTGAATTTTAAAATATTTTTAAGTTCAGGTTCATTTTGGACTAAACTGCAATATAGAAACATCGTTCGAAAAATTGCTTTCATCTTTGTGGTAGGAATTAAACTTCTGTTTAGTTTTAATTTTTAATACTCTAGTCTTAAAGCTGAACTCAGTCTTTAGGAAATTTAGACTTGAAGATATAGCAGTGTTAACACATGGCTATATTTTATGTATTTAAGAGTTACTGCGAGGTAGAAACTTGTGAAGGTGTTTCTACTGCTAACTTTTGGTGTTCACATGCATAATGCTTCTGTACTTCACATAGCATAAGTTCTTAACATAAATATCTTACCAAGTATTGATCTTACATATTCCTCAGTTGGCTCCCTACATTTCTCCTAAAATCTTTTCTTCTGTATTTTTAGTATTGTAGGAAGTTCACTAGTTTTAAATACATTTATTTAAGAGTGTTTGGGTCATAGAGGATTTTGTCCTTATTTTATTTAAATATATCCTAGGAATGAAATTATTTTGATTAAAAAAACAAACCCAAAACCAGGAGAAAGCTGTGTTCATTAGACCAATTTTAAATTATTATAGAAGAAATGCTTTCAGTAAGATCTAATAAATTACTGAACAATATTGGCAGCTAATATTTTAAAGAAGTAGTACTTATAAAAATGGGTAAAACATTCATGGCAGTTACTAGGCTACTGAGAATCCAAAATGTATATTTACTGTCAATATTATAAATACTGTCTACTCATTAAATCTTGAGTTGTGCTTAAGTATTTTGCAAGTGGTATTTTGGCTTTCTGTCCTTAAGTATAAACACCCTATTAAAAACCACAGAGTAGCATCATTATCCATGCTCTTTTTTAAATTTCTTGCAGTATATTCTTAAATGTCAAAGATAGTTTTATAGGTATTCTCCTTTATCATTGAAACATCTCAAGTTGATAACTGATTTATAAAACCCTTTATCTTCCAAAATGAAGTTATTTTGATATAACCTGATAAATACTGTTTACTATTATAGTCTCATTGGATTTTTATCAGCTTTGCCTTTTTTTTTTTTTTAACTGCACACATTGGGTAAAAAAACAGATGCAGATATTACAATATTGGGTACCTGGGTTATTTGTGGGTTTGTATTGTATTCTGCACAGTTGCCCTTTTTTTTAGGAGTGTTTCCTGGAAAAGAGGGGCGGATGAACCTTGGAAGTAAGTAAAAATCATTCTAGGTGTGTAGCATCAAAGGCAGTTGATACCCAAGCATCAGCTAACTTTTCTCTGTACATCTACACTGCATGGCCTGCACCAAATAAAGGAACTGAACCAGGGGTATATTTTTACCTCTACAGCTGCCTCCTTCCATCAGAGCACCTTGTTTAACTTAATGTCATCTAGGCTTACATCATTGGCATGTTTTCTCCCCAGCATTTAATTTAAAAGCTGGTAAAATAAAATTACACAGTTTAAGTGCTGTGTAAAATACTTTTTACATTTAGTATTAACTTATCAATGCAGGAAATGATAATGCATACTATAGCCATAACCACTGGAGTTTTAGTTCCCTCTGTTGATAAGTTAATTTTGGAGAAAATACTGTTTAAACAGATAGGGAAGCAAAGCATGATTTAGAGAAGAGAGGTGTTTTTTTTGTTTTTGGTTTTTTTTTTGGAAAATGACTAAAGATCCAATAGTAGACTTCAGTATTGTTTGCTATATTTACACAAATGCCTTTTTAAAATAAGGCTTCAAATACTTAAGTGAAAATAACTGATCATGCTAATGTATATAGTTGTGCATCTTAATGACATTAAGTGGTTTGCTGCTTTGATGGAAATAATGGTTCAGTGGGTTGGATACAAGAGAGATGACTGTTCACAGAATAACCTGTGAACTTTCACCCCTCTATATGGAAACTTGTTTCAGGGCCAAATCCTTGTAGCTGTCTTCTTGCCCCGGTCAGTGCCAGCCCTACTATTCACAACACTGCTGCTACCGAGGCCTAGGTATGTAAACATTTAAGGAGTTTTTTAAAAGTCTTTTAACATCAGCTAGGTTTAAAGAATTCAAATTCATTTTGGTATATTTACAAGGTATCTTCTGTGATTGTCTTTCATTTATTGAATAGATACGTTTTTAAAGTTATCGTTTTGCCTCATAGGATTTTTCTATGTAAAATATTTATACTTGCTTTATGGTAGAATGGGGAAACTGGACGACAACAGTATGCTGCTTCAGTGTCCAAACTTTCTAAGTGATTTCTGGGCTTTACTTATTAACTAGGTACACCTGGGACAATTAATATTATTAAATGTTTTAACATTGCCTTCTTTTTATTTTACAAGCTAAGAAGAGATACCAGTGAACCTAAATAGTGGACGGAACAGAAGTGTTCTAATTTTTTTTGGAGGAGGGGCATGAGGGCCACTGTTTTAAAACTGTCATTTACTTGCCTTATTTGACTTTTAATGAAAATACTATTGTTAACATGAAAATATGTAAGTTGTAAAGTATAGAAGCATATAAATTGTTATAACAGATCTAGATATAAGTTGGGTTTGTTTTGTTTTTTTTTTTAAAGAAAGTTACCAATGAGTTAGTAATCCAAGTTCTAACTGTAAAATGGGGACATTTTACCTTTCTTTATTTGGATAGGATCAGTTCTTAAGAGCAGCCCCCGTAACTGGAGGAATGGGCGCCGTTTTGATGAGAAAAATGGGCTGGAGAGAAGGAGAAGGATTAGGAAAAAACAAAGAAGGAAATAAAGAACCTATTCTAGTTGATTTTAAGACGGACCGAAAAGGTAAATTTATGGGTTGCTTTATTAGAAATATTTTCATAATTAAAGTTTTATTTATGCATTGTTTAATTTGTGATACTCTACTAGATAAAATTCTAGTATAGTTTTTAAATAGGCCTTTGTCAGAAAAAAGTCTGACCTATTTTACATATTTAAAAATAGTTACTTAAATTAACTTAGAGACACTAATTTTATGCTTTTAAAAGATAGTAATTGATAGTTATTTGCTAAACATTCTGTAAATTGTAAATATATTTGTGATAATTTATTATCAGATTCTAACTTTTTTAGGGTACTTGAAACTTTTAATGCTTAAATTATCTGGCCACTTTTTAGAGACAACACCTGGGTAGCAGTGGCTGTGTTAAAACAATTAGCCAAAAGCAGCTAATTGGTGACTTTAAGCCCTCCTTTCCTTAGAATAACTATAACCAGAAGTGAGGCAGTTAGTTCTGTAGGGTGACGGTGAATCAGTCTCATTGTCAGTGGTTTTATTTTGGGGTATTGATACATTTTGGGTAATAATTTTCCATACTGACTTTGGGTTTGGCCATGCAGCTTGCTTTATCACTAAGCATGGTTCAGAGACTTGAAAAGTATTTGCAGATTAGAACCTGCCTTTTTGCTGTCACAGACTCTTAATACTTTGTGATCAAAGTTGGGCTAGTTAACATAAAGAACAAAAAGAATGAAAGTGCCTAAAATGACAGCCTTTAAATGACCTGGAGCAATGTATTCATCCACCCATGCAAAAAAACAAGTGGCTCTTAAAAACAAAACTCCTTGGTGTATAAATTATTAGTTTTTAAAAAATGAACATTGTTTTAAAGCTAAAGAGAAAAAGGTAACTTAAGCTTTTTTTTTAAAAAAAGTATTTTTTACTAATTATACATTAATATTTTATTGAATTTGTAAATGTTCTGGCTCTGCAGCATATATTTTTGCACCACAATTAGAATATGATTATGTATGTCCAAATTAGATTTATTGTAATCACTAATAAGCAGTACTTAACAATTATAATGTAGTATAAAGAATGCTTTTCATGAAATTAGAAGGAACATTACTAATTGTGTCACAATGGAGTAGGCTAGGTATTTCCATCATGAAAGGTGACTTACTGGAAGAACAGAACCATAGATGCCTTGCATAATTTCAGGGAACAGCATCCTTGGAATTCTAGAACATGTTTTTTGGTGAAAGCCAAGAGAAGAGTATACTTTCCAAAGCAAACTGGTTTGATTTTAGCAAAGGAATGACAGACAAGGTCATTACTATTACTAAGATCACTAATATGATCTTAGCAAAGGAATTTTAGCACATGAAGGCTGGGAAAGCAGTATTTTAATAATTCTATGGGAAAAATTTTGAGAGGTTATGCTTATCTTTTAGAAACATTTCATACTTTACTAAGTCAAAGCAATAGTTGGGGAAAGTAACCAATTTCATTCATTCAAACTTCCTTACCTTTGTGAGTACATTTAGTATTTCTTTATGAAATTTAGTAGTAATTATTTCAGTAATTCTGTCACTTAAGCTAAAACTGGAGCCTTTGGTAATTAAGGCACTTTATTTGTTATTTATCTTGTATTTATGAAATTATTTTTATACTGTTCATTATCAATGAAAGTATATATACACACACACACACCCCTAGGAAATGAAAAGTTAGGATTTATAAATAAAATTCAGTATGAACTTTTGTTTAAAAGGTATGGGTTGATGATCTTTGTTTTATTGTAAACTATTCCTTGATGCATTCAGTGAACGCCAGGTTGGTTTTTTTTTTAAAGGTCTTGTTGCAGTAGGAGAAAGAGCCCAAAAGAGATCTGGGAACTTCTCTGCTGCAATGAAGGATCTATCAGGTGAGAGTACACTTTTTATACTTCGTTCCCCATTCTTATATTAAATAGTTTGTTACAAAAGATGTTGGAAATAATTTCTAATGGCCCTGTTGTTTTTCTTTTATAGGCAAACATCCTGTGTCTGCCTTGATGGAAATCTGTAATAAGAGAAGGTGGCAACCACCTGAATTTCTCTTGGTCCATGATAGTGGCCCTGATCATCGCAAACATTTTCTTTTTAGGGTAAATATAAATTTCTGCATTAATCGTATATATTTAATGGTAGGGGGTGCGGGGGTAGTGTTAGTCAAATTATAAATTTAATAATTGGGTGGAGATGTATATAGTGTGGGTAGAGTGATGGGGCTTTTTAATATTGAAGGGGCACTTTTAAATGACTTGTAAAGTCTTGGAGGGGAAAAAAAAAATTTTTTTAAATGGGGAACATGGGGTTACTTCTAAGTAGAATTTTTTTCACTTTTTTATTGGGAGACCGGCTCTTAAATTAGCAGTCTCTTCCGAAATTATAATTTGCCTCTTGTGGGTTGAATTAATTATTATATAAATGGGTTTTAGAATTGTGTAGATTATTTTTCTAGCATTTAGTGAAATAATTACAAAGCTAATAAATATTAAAGTTTGATGCTGTTCTTATTGTATGTTTTTCTTGAATAGGTATTGAGAAATGGAAGCCCTTACCAGCCCAATTGTATGTTTTTCTTGAATAGGTATTGATAAATGGAAGCGCTTACCAGCCCAGCTTTGCCAGCCCTAATAAGAAGCATGCTAAAGCCACAGCAGCTACTGTGGTTCTTCAAGCAATGGGCCTTGTACCAAAGGACCTCATGGCTAATGCCACTTGCTTCAGGAGTGCCTCACGTAGATAGATTGAGGTTTTATATTACTCATTTCAGATAATTTTTCTCTGCATCAAAATGTATTTCCCTCAATGTTGTAAATATTTGGCAATTGAAGACATTGTGTAAAAAGCAATCTGTACAAACATCTCCAGGCTTTGATTTTTGTACCATGGAAATTGTATTTAACCATACAGGGTTTTGGTATGTTTATATTGTTTACCTTAGTGATGTATTTGTTTAAGTGGCTAACACCCAAACAATTGACTGTTCGAAGGCATCAGTAATCTTCAGTGTGGAATGTTAAATAACGCTTTTATACTGTATTTTGTACTATGCTGTAACTTCCCCTTCCTTATGGCTAGGCTGCTGTAACACTTGCCTGTAATCAGTGAAGGGCTGTGCACCTTGTACTATTTCACAATGGGTTCTGCTGGACAGATACTGGGCCAGTGTTATTGAAGTAATCAAGCAAGATCTGTTCCACAGGGCTAATGCCACCACTTCCCCTTAAAATTTTACAGAAATTGTAAGAAAGTGGTATGTTGTGTAATGATCAGCACTAAGTCCTGCATTCCTGTTAAAGCCACTTGGGCTGGAAGAAGGGAGTGAAAATGAAGTTTGACTAGAATTCTGCAGAGGCCAAGTACATTTAGTATGGCATCAAGTTGTGATAATAGTTTTACTTTGATGTGCATTTTGAATTTCAGCTACACCTAGGTAGATTTTAAATAATTAAAATGCTGTAACCAACTTATCTAATAAAACTGGCACCCGGCCACTATTTTGTTGACTGAGAAAGTTCAAATTCATGTTAATTTTTAGGGTCTGATAGACTATTTCATGTGTATTACAGTGGTATTCCTATGCTATGTCTCTAAACTTTATTTTCAAAAGCTTAAGGCCCAAATACAAACTTCTCTGGAATAAATGTGGTGGTTTATTTTCTGTATGGTAAAATCAACACGATTCTTCAAATACTATTTCTTTTCCCAATCAATGCCTTTCATTTTTCTAAGTACTTTTATTTAAAAAAAATATATATATAAATTATGTATACACACAAATACCTCGCACATTAAGTACTATGTCAACTTTCAAGCAGGCATACAACTGTTGATTTTTCTACATGGAATACAAAATACCTCTTTGTTTGGATTAACAAGCATTAAAAAAAGTTTATATTTGAGATGTGAAAAGCCTACAATTTTCTGCCTTTATGAAACAAGAACCTACAAAAGAATGTCTTCATGATATTTGTGCCTTGAAGTCACAATACCATGTCAACTGCTCCAATTTCCCATTAGCAAGAAAACACATTAATTCTGCTTTATGGCCAGATGCAAAAATTTAAAGCAAACGGTGAGGTGTGTTTTTTTAGAAAGGTTCAAGTTCCTTATTAGGCTACCTAATAGGAAACAGTAAGAACTTAATCACCCTCAGTGCACATAGTAAAAGTTAACACATAAAGTTTGTTTATAAACATGAGTATTTTGTTATACTCCTTTTGGTTTCCAGAATGAACTGTAAAACCTTTCTTTTAAAGTAACTTGGATTTCCTTGTTAGAAGGCTTTTCCTCAGTTTCCATTTACGCTTACTTTGATGTTCAGGATCTCCAGTGATAAGTGTAGTCATTCATGTCGACATGCCTTAATGATGATTTCCCCAGTAATGGTATTTGACTAAGTTGGTCCAGCGTCTTAGGATGCAACCCGCAGTTGGCAAGTTCCTTACAAGCATTTTCCTATGGAAAGTTACATCCAAGTCATAAAAGCACATTAGTTTCTGAACACTAAGCATTTATTATCTGGATTTATGCTTAAGTAAAGTCTATGTAAGTCTCTCTCCCATAATTAACCTGGGAAATCTAGATGGCAATTCTTATCCCAGAGGCACTGAGTGAGAATTCACACAATAGTTGATATTGAAATCTTTGAATAGTGACAATTTTTACTACTGGTTACATTTACAAGTCAGGCCAGGAAGTAATCGACAATTTCAACGGTTTTAAAAAGCTGTAAGGAAGTGTACAAAAACGCAAACAGGTTAAATAACACATAAGTTGTATTCAACTTGAAACAAATTTTATAAAGGAATCAAGACTGCAAAAAAAGGGAATGCTCTCACATTTGGGAACTTTTTAGTTGCAGGAGTATAAAAACAAAACTATCTTGAAAAAACAACTGAAATACCAACACATCCATCCCTCTAAGTAATTAAGACCAAGTGTATTTTGGTAACTTGAAACAAGATCGTCTCCAGCTTGAAGATGTTTAGTTAAAAGGGGAAAAAAGTGTGTTTAAAGCAGTCTACATACCTTATCCACTACTGTATCCACTGAAGGGCAGATATTAAATACAGCAGTTGGTTCATGTGCATACAGTACTGCGGAAAAAGACCCACTCTGTGAAGTCCTTAGCAGCGTGGTCACAGAAAGTAGCGAATGAGGCATGACAGGACCTGTTATCTCCAAACTAAATTGATCTTTGTATCCAGAAAAAGCTTGTGTCTTCACATTTGTGCTTCGTGCCTTCATAAAATTTTAAACAAAAACTGCTATCAAGACATGGGATTTTTGTTTGGCTAGCTAAAACTGTTTTTGATAAAGTCTTACTAGTATTTCCAAAGATTTAATAAAGCAATGTTAAGTAAAATTTCTTCCTAAGTTCTCAAGATCGCCAGTATCCTCTTCAAATAACAAGAATATTGCTTTTCATATATTTTACGTGTAAATTTTTCCATAAACTAGTTGTTACTGTCACTTACCCTGAAGTAAGGTTCTGAAATCTATATAACAATTATGACTACGTTCTTTTATCAGAATAGAAAAAACTAGATAAAGCAGCTCTGTAAGTGGCAAAAAAATACTTTCGTTGGTAATTCAACTTAACACGTTGCCGCACACTTTTAAATTGATGACCGTGCTTAGAAACACATTTTGCTATTTGCGGCAATGTATTAATTAAAAAAAATTCTGTAAACTCTGAAAAGTTTTGTATCAAATATTTACTAGAATGCAAAACTGAAAACATGCACCATAATGCTAAGAATATTTAAAACATATTTTCCTTAAAAAAAATAGTTCTTTTAAAAGCTACTGTACAGGCAACAGTATTAGAATTTCTACTCATTTTATTACCTTAAGCATTTGCATTGTGGCACCTCTGAAAGCTACAGGGGATAACAGAGTTGGTGGTAGTCCTGCTTGTGGACCTGAGGTAGCAACTAAACTCTTCGAGTTGATTAAAAAATTAAGCAATGTAAAGGTGTTCATTCCTTTAACCAACACAATAGATTCAGGCCTGTGATCCATTTGTACTTCATGCTTATCTTTACGCCTGAAGATGACAATCAAGGAAACCGCAAATACAAATCATAACCTGTGGGAAAAGCCATTCTCTTGATTTAGAATCACCTGGGTATGCTTTTCTCCACTAAAATAAGGGTGCTAAAAAAAAGTGCTCCTATCAACCATATCTAATACTCAATAAGCCACAGTGTTAGATCAAAATTTCTCTTTAGTCATCTGAGTTTGCTGGAAACCGATACCTAACAAAGTCAAATGCCATCTTTATTCAAACTTGTTCTGGTCCTTAACAAACATAATAAAAATGTAATCTTATCTTTTTATTAAGTCAGTTTATTGGTACTTAGGGTTTGTTATTTAGTGTCAGGATGGTGAATTTTAATATAATCTTAAGATGATAGTCCTAGAAAACTGCCAAATTGCTCATAAATAACAGCAAGTGAAAGGATACAACTTGATGGAGAGTATATCTGGTTTTTTAATTTTATCTTGAACACCCATCTCTTTCAGCCAGGAAAAACTTTCCTCTTCATCTTCATCACTGACTGCATGTTCCCTAGGAAACTGCTATAGTTAGTGCATCCATTTCACAAAGTTGTTACCTCTTAAAAGTAGTTTACAAATCACTGTTAGTAATTTACATACTCCCCATGTCCCAAGCTTGTTCCAGATGCTTGTTTCTTAAGAATACTTCCTTTTATTAAAGGCATAGAATATTCAATACCTACATTAGAGGAGAAAAAAAGTACCTAAGTTTCTTTTAATAAAATATATTTAACAGATGAAATGCAAGTTTTTACAATCAATCTAAGCAACAGCTTTCAAGTTTTCTTGATACATGTTCACAAAACAAACTCTGGGTAACAAATGGCTCAGAAACCAAGGTATATATTCATCAGGTAAATTATATTCTTTAAAAAACCCCTCAAACTCACTGTGGTCAAGCCACAATTGACGACTCATGGCTAATTCTCCAGTGGGTTTTCTGAGACTAACTCGCATGGAAAGAGACTTGCCCATCTTTCTCCCAAGGAGCTACTGGTGGAACTTAACCACCAGGAAGACATTGGCCTTGGGTTGAAAGAGCAACCCTCAGCTGAACCAGGATTCTGTAATTATACTACAGCTGTTCCTTGGGAGAAAGATGAGTTAGTTTCTATTATAAATGTGACTTTCCATTGCCATACTCGAGAACAGAGCAAAGAATACTACTTACAGTTATGGAAATGAGACAACCAAATAACGAAACAAAATCAGATAATAAAATATTGGTGCACAAGTATGAAAGACTGCTAAGGAAAAACGTGCTTACTGCAGAAAATGTTGTGCTGCCACTTTAAAGCTGTATTTTATCATTATTTTTAAACTTTAAGGCTTTACTTGTACCTTCATTTTTCATAGCTTCTCGTAAACCTCTAGTTGTGGGAGATATGAAAGCTGTAATGACATCACTTCCTGCAAATCCTGCTGCCCGAAACAGGACAGTAAACTGATAGGTACAAATGTAGAAATAGGGGCAAAGTTTTGTTTTCAGCAGATTATATAGAGAAGTAAAGCTGACAGACCTATAAAGCAAAATAAAACAAAATGCACACAAAACTTGCTATTACACATTATTAAACATTTGACTCAACATTTAAAATATATTAGTTAAATTACATATTACCTGATAAGCACTAGTGGCATTGCACTTAAACCTGACAAGCTGCTAACTCATCATTTGAGTTTGAAACTACCAACTATTCTACAGTAACGAGATGGGGTATCTATTTGTAAAGATTTATAGCTTCAGAAACCCAAAACACAGCACAAATATTACATATATTCCTTGGAATTACTGGGGAGGTTATATTTAGCTTAGTTTTTAAAGGACTGATGATACTGGACATAGGAACTAAAGAGTAATTCCAAACAGTGTTTATTCCTTGAAGAGTTTTCTAAAAAACAAAACACCCAATAAAAGCAAAACAAAAAAATCATACAAAACCACATTTAACCTTTTAGACTCTTTGAGAGACTTTTGGTGATAAGAAATGAAGCAGTTACTTGTAAGAATTAATACTGAAAAAATTATGTTTGTATATCTAAAACATATCATTTGACAACTATAAAAAGATTAAATTTAGAAAAATGTAAGCTTAAATGCTGGAAAATAGCATTTTCAGATACATTAGTGTATAAGAACAGAAAAATATTAATTTAATGTGATAATTACAATAGAGATCAATACTAAAAAAAGCCTTCCTAGCCTCAATTTCTATCCCAAAAGTTTGAACTTTCTCAAATTAAATGATAAAAAGAAACGTAACAACCAAGAAAACTTGCTGGAATACTTTTGGTCTGTCACACACAAGTGTGTCCTACGTCAAAATCAGCTAGACAGTAAGAGGTTTTTATTGCTAAAATGAAAATTCACCACTGAATAACTGCTTTTATTAATCTCACCAATCACTCATTAAAACATGTTGCAGGGTTTCATCATTTGACCAGGGGTTTATTTTTCCAGCCATTTTTCTGTCCGCTCCAATACGTGGGAACAGTGGCAGCCAAGGCAAGGCAGGATGCAGCCAATAGATGAGGCTCTGTTGGAAGGCACAGCGGAGCTCAGTAGAGAACCTGGGATCCTGAAATTCGGAGGTGACATTGAGTATTTTTTTTTAGTTATTAAAAGAAAACACTAATCACACCAAACTTAGTCTAAGAATCCCTACTGCATCATACAGAATAATTTTTGAATCAATACAACTTCTTTTACAGAGGTTAAAGTGTAGTTTAAGACAAACTTTTTAGTTGCCCTAGAAATACTTAAACATAAATGGCAACAATTTCCCAACATTCTCCAAAACAGTGACTATATTTCAGAATGAAGAGCAGGCATGAGTATGAACATACACTGTTGTTTTGTGCCCTATTATATGGAACCTCTTTTTTTGTGTGTGTGTGCAAAATGTGGCCTTTACTCCTGAGAAAGACCAGGAAGAGTGACAGGACATGACCAAACTTTTAGAGGGCGGTGGTGAACCAGCCACTTCTAAGACCCTAAAACCTGATCCAGTAATAGAGTAAGTAATTTAGGCTTGCCCTGGAAGCCTAGGGGGTTGGGGGTTAGCTCCCCTCGCCATCTCCTTCAATTCCTACCCCCTCATCTCCTTTCACTCCCTTCCCTTCTCCGGCTGCTCCTCCCCTCTCTAGTGTATCTCTTTTCCTTCTTTTTATTCTCTTTCCTTTTTCCTTCTCCCTCTACGTTTACTCCTCTCAGCCCTGCCTTCCTAAGGTGCAGCCTCAGGGCTCAGGGTGGAGGCAGGCAGTAGCCCTCAGCCCAGTGAGTACTTGTTGCTGTTCTTCTTATCACCAGTTTTCAGGTCAGTATTGGGGGACTTATTGCTGCTTTCCAATCTCCAGCCTGCAGACTAGAGCAAGATGTCCCAGGCCAGGGAGCTGAAGGTCTCATCCACATTCATACTGGACTTGGCACTTGTCTCGAAAAATCTGATTCCATGCTCCTGAGCCAACTTGTTGGCCTGCTCCCTATGCACCTTACTCTTGGCCTCCATGTCACACTTGTTTCCCAACAGGAGGCACCTCGTTCCACTCCAGCCGAGGTGTTCTCTTTGATGCTCTTCATCCAGTTCTGAATATTCTCAAAGGATTTCTCATCTGTGATGTCGTATACTAGAATAACGCCCATGGCTCCACAGTAATAGGCAGTCATTATTGTCTTGAATTGCTCTTGACCAGCTGTGTCCCAGACTTGCAGCTTGATCTTCTTCCCCTCTATGTCAATAGTATGGATCTTGAAGTTAATGCCATTGGTGGAGATGTAAGTGTTGTTGAAATTGTCCTCTGCAAAGTGAATGATCAGACATGTCTTACCCATCCGAGTCCCCGATGAGCAGCAGCTTGAAGAGGTGATCGTAAGCTTTGGCCATGGTGGACATTGGGGGGGGGGGAAGGGAAGGGCTATATTCAACCTCTTATACAACAGTATTTCACAAATACACAGTAAAAACTAAGAATGTGAATCACATACTAATGCCTCCTTTACATAATCTCTATTAATTAGCCTAGTGTGAGGGCTGACATACTCATGATAAATATCCTTCTAGAGGTGTTCCAAGGAGCTTTGGTGGCTTAGTGGTAAGGAGCTGTGCTGCTAACCCAAAGGCAAGCAGTTTAAATCGACTATCTGATTACCAGTAGGAAGACAAGCAATCTCATCCTGTGTAATCTACAGCTTCTGAAAACCTGCTGGAAGGTCAATTATGAGTCAGTTCCAATTTGATGACACAAACAGGTGGTAGCAGTGGGTGACATGTTACAGAGCTACTAAAAAGCTCAACAGTGTGATCCAGCTGCAATGTGAGAGAAAGATGAGCAATCTCCTTTGGTGTAATTTATAGCCTCAGAAACCCAGTGGGAGGTCAGCTAGTAGTTAGTTCTGATGGTAAAATGAGAGAGAAGATGGGAGGATGGATGAAGCTAGAGAAGGTCTGGGAGAGAAAGGGACAAGAGGGAAAGAGGAGAAGGGGACTGAGAGAAAAATTGAGGTAGAAAGTATTTAAGAATCTTTTTCAAAAGGCTTTTGGATACAAGGGTGATCTGGTTGTGACATCTGTCACCCCAACAATCCACGTCCAACACCCCACTGATTGCCAGGGTGCTACTGAACGCTGCTGTGAACATAGATGTATAAATCTGTTTGTGTCTCAGTTCTATTTTTTTCAGAGTACATTTCTAACAGTGGAATCATATCCACAAACAGCTAGATCATATAAAATTTCTATGTTCAGCATTTTTTTTAGCTTTGTACACTCATGTTTATAGCAGCATTATTCACAATGGCAATAAAATGGAAACAGCCCAAATGTCCATAAGCAACAAAAAGGAATGATAAATTCCTCCCTCACAGCTCCATGTGCATTCCACACTGCTTGAAGAGGTTTGACATTTTCTGATAAGAGAACTCTTCTATTAAGGCCAAGGGTGTATGAGTAGCTGTGCTCCCCTACTACAACCTACAAACAAGGTCTCAAAATACTTTAGAAAAGAAGGGTTTGGCTCAAACCATTTACTAATTCTCAGTACATGTTTCTAAAAGAGCCGTGATTGAATTTTAACCAAAGAATCTTAAAACCAAAAAGCTAAAAATCTGATTTGGAAAAAAAGAAAATTTTAAATGCTAGAAGAATAATGGAATGGAAAATCATTAACTTAATAATCGGTTTTATTGTTAGGGCCTTCAAGTCCAGTATGATTCATAGCAACCCTATGAACAAAAGATCTGAATACTGGCTTATCCTGGGCCATCCTCACACTGCTTGACATACTTGAACCCACTGCAGCCGAAAACCCTATGAACAGAAAAGGAAACTGATGATAAGAGTACAAAAATATTTTACAGTGAACCACATACTTATACATTGCTTCTTTAAGAAAATACAACAATTTATTTCAGAATTACCTGTACAGTTTGAGGTAAGGTAACTTCTGTTGCTCTACAGTGCCAGACGAGACCTTGAGCCTCCTCATGTGCTTTCAAATGTTCTGCCCAAGTAAAAGGTTGAGAGGAGGTGAAAAGGAGTCGAGTTTTAATACTCCAATCCACTGGTAACTCAGTACATTCTGAGGACAGAGTATCAGTTTCAGGGAAAGACACAGGTGAAGTCTTTCAGAAAAAAGAAAAAGAATATACAAAAAATTAGCACAACCTTAAGAAACATTTAAATATAATATTAAATATAACAGTTCAATAAACATCATGTCATAGAATTCTTTTACAGAATGACAAGTTCTAATAGCAAAGAGTTAATTTTTTTAATGTCTAGAGGTGTGTAGTACAGTCATCATAAAAAAACTCCACACAACAACAGTACAAAAGGCAAAGTGAAATAAAGAAAAAAACCCAACAGGTCTTATTATGAGTGATAGAATAGTAGGTGAATTTTGTTATTTTTGTGTTGTGCTTTTTTGTATTTTCCAAATGTTCTGCATTGAGCATGTAATACTTCTGTAATTAGGTGGAAAGCTAAAGTGGAAATGTTGCAAATGTAAGCAGATAATGAGAAAACTGTCAAATAAGACAACCCTCCTCTCTGCACTTAAACAAGGACTACATTAGCTTGACCTCCAGCAGCCCTTGTACAATTACTTCTTTTTTTTTCAGTTATCAAACTGGCTATAATAATCTTTTAGCCCAAAATGATAGATTAAAGTCTCGAGTAAGCAAAGAGCCCTAGCTGAGTCTTCATGCAGGAAGAAATATTTAGTTCTTTTAATAATCCAGGAAACTTCTTTGCTTAATAGATTGCCATCGTGTGGCTATTACAAATGGTGAGAAGATAATGGATTATAATATAATTGCTAGAACTTTGTTGGCAAACGATAGCTAATTATGGCTGATCCAAAAGAGAAACCAGGTGGGGAAATTAACAAGCAATTTCAAAAGCATATTTTAACAGTATAATTAAGACAAAAGGTGGTTCACCAATATAAGTCCCTTTTAAAAGATTATCTGAGAAAGTGATGGAGCGCCTTTAAAGACTATGCTTCTATTTGAGACTCTAGTGTTAAGAGACACAAGTACCAAAAGTTGAAGTGTGAACTGCTTATTGTCTTTACTGAAACAGGCACCATTTGTAAGTATTAAAATCAAGAATTACCCTGCTAAAAGTGAAGGTTTAAGTGTTTGAGGAACACCTCTCTATACCATGACTCCACAAATGAAGACTTCTTCAGTAGAAAACAAAACAAAGCACAGAAAAAGAGTCATCAGAACAGAGCAAGGAAACAGTGCATGGTTCAGAATTGGGAAGGGTGTATGCCAGGGATGTGTCCTGTCTCTATACCTTTTCAACCTGTATGTAGAACAGATCATCCGGGAGGCTGGGCTCTGAGGATAAATGTGGCATCAGGGTTGGTGGAAGATCTATAAACAATCTGTGTTATTCAGATGACACAACTCTGCTTGCTGAAACTGAAGATGACCTGAAGCACTTGCTACTGAGGGTCAAGGACTGCAGTCTTCAATATGGACTGAGGCTCAATGTCAAGAAGACAAAGATTCTCACCACTGAACCAATTGGCAGCATCAAGATGAATGGTAAAGAGATTGAGATTGTTCACAGCTTTAGTCTGCTTGGCTCCACAGTCAACCCTCTTGGCACCAGCAGT